CCCCAAAACCCCAAAACCCCAAAACCCCAAAACCCCAAAACCCCATAATTTAAATAATAAATTGATTGTTTTAATCCAAGAAACCATCATGGATAAGGTATGTTTAAATACATTTTAACTATCTCAGAGCATAGGTGTTGAGCCTTCCTAATTTACCTGTGAGATTTCCTTCGCAGAGTCTTGCAGCTGCTAAAATTTCTGTATAAACTCCTAAAAGGTTCAAATAGATACATAATAATTTTATATCAACTGGATTTTTCTTAAATACTAAACTAGTCTCTTCCATAATATAATCTCATGAGGGTTTGATCACTAGATAGCTAAAGAGGTGATAGCTTTTAGATATTTTACCAATGCGTTTCCTTACTTTTAGAAACCTTTGAATTAATTTAAATTATTTTATAGAGAAAAAGTAATATCAAGATGAAGAAATATGCTTCTAAGGGAACTAATTCTTTTAAAACTCAACTTAAGAGTGAAGCGACACCTGAGAGGAGTCTTCTATCCTCAGACTTTAAGAAGACAGTTCTCAATAAGGAAAAGGAGCTAATTTATATGACAAATGAGATTTGCAAGGCTTGTAGGATCAAGGATATCAAGGCTGTTAAATAAATTAGCAGATGATGAGTTTTATATCGAAATCTTTGAGAAAGAATTTGAGGAAATTGACTTCCACGATCTGAAAGGAGCTCAATCAGAGGAGCAAAAGGTGGAAAATCTACAAATAATGATTGATTTTCTCGGAAATGCTATTTATGAAATGGATCTGAGCCATATTGAGCCATTGGAGATTATGAATAAAAACTATGACCATATCCATCGATTTGTGAAGCTATTATACGAGTGGTTTACCACCCAAGCTGGAGTAGATGACTCCAAACCTGTTAGTAAGATGATTAATATGGCTAGCATGGGAACTATGCCAACGGTCGATACTTATGAAAACATCAAAAGTCAGGCAGAAGATCACGGTGAAATTATTGACTTTTACAAAAGGGGAAGATCAAAATTTAAAAATGAATCTAGTCTTAAAGGAACCTCTAAGTTTAGAATTTTGAGCAAAGATAAGTGAGAAAATACTGAAATCTTTCAAAATATTGTGAGCACTTCAGAAACTCCAACTATTAGATCATCTTTGACCACTTCGGTCAACACTACTGTCTTGGGAGGTGCTGTCGAGCAAGAGGAAGAAAGGCAGAATTATGAATTCCTTGAGATGGCTCAGAACAATGAAAGCTCATATGAAATTTCAGTAGAAAAAGGTATAATCAGAGACCAGGTAAGCTAACAGATATTTTTACTATCAACGATAAATTCAAAAATTCAAATTTTTAATATCGTATTTATATAGTTTCAAAATTACGAGAAAAGATTTATCTCCCCAGAAATGGAGTTTGGCAAGGAAGACACCTTTGCCACAATTTTCAAGATCGTAGAGGAGAGCAAGCGCAAACCATCTAAAAATACAAGAGTTAAATCTTTCTCTCCTGTGGACAAGACAAAGGATTCATTTGGGCTTTATTATGACCAACAATCTCCTGATTCTTCAGTAAATCGATTGAGAAATAAGCCAATGACTTATTTCTCAAAGAAAAATCTCAAACATTATGAAATTAGGGACACAAGTAGTGATAATAAGTTGAAGAAGTCACTTCCGATCTATGATTCGAGTAAAGCTGCTCTTTCATCAAGTAGCTCCAAAGGGCTGCTGACAACGTCCATTTACTCAAATAATGAGAGAAAAGAAATTCCTGTGAAAAAGAAATCTCATCTCATGAAGTGGACTACGTCTCAAATAAAATACAAGAGTAAATAAGACAAATGACTCAAATATGAAATCTTCGCATTCAAAGTTTTCAACAAATTACTCCACTAAGAGGCCCAAGTCTGCAAAGGGAACTGGGATTGTAGGGAACCCAGAATATATCTATAAATATAATTACACCAAAATACCTAGTAAAAGCAAGTACCCTTCCTCTTCACAGAAGAGAAAGGATACTTCCCAACAGAAGAAGAATAATGGAACCAAGGAAATAACATCGAGACAGAAACAGGAGTACATGCCTTCTTCTTACAGAAAGTCCAATATCTCCGGGACTCATAAGAAGTACGCCAAGACTTCTAGAGGAGTCAAGAAGTCTAATATCAGCAGTTCTCAATTATTAGAGCAAGGAAATAATACTTCAAGAACGTCTAAGTTTGCATCAAAGGATCAAATGCAGTCGTATAATTCTATTATGACAATGCTCATGAGTAAGGAGAAGGATATGTATCGGACAACCAATGATGTGAGAGCTATGAAGCACAAAACTTCCAAAGAGTCTGGCTACCATCTTAAGAGTTCGAACAGTAGCTCGAACTCTAAGCTTTTTGGGTCTTCTTCTAGAAAAGCTCTGGAAGTTCACAGCTACAATCCTTCGAAAGAAGTGAAGAACTATAAGAAATCATCTGTAAATTTATACACAAACAAAGCAGGAGGTAGAGAGCTTGAGGATTACTTGAAAACCACGAGGAGCCGAGGTAGTCGGAACTATATACCCCACAACTCAAACGCACATGTGGTGAAAACTTATCATTAATAACTCTAACTAAGCTTCTTGCTCTCTGAAGTGTCTTGTTCATTGCTTCTTCAGGTTTCTCGGACATAATCTTAGTGTTAAATAAATTAGCTGGAGGAACAAGCCTAAATAATTTCAATGGAATTTGTCAAGATAGGGGTTTTGGGGTTTTGGGGTTTTGGGGTTTTGGGGTTTTGGGGTTTTGGGG